TGCGAGATTCGGAAGGGAATTATTCAGATTTCACTCGGCACATCTACTAGAAGACATACAGGTTGCTCACGTGACATTACGTCATCAAGCTCAGTTTGAGCCTGCGCAGTACGTCTGGCGATCAGCTTTTAACGGGCTTCAATTTTCTCCGTTGAAATCAATGGGGTCGCTGTGTCCATTTCTTTTGGTCTTTATCAGCTTTGTGGCACCTCCATGTTTACGTACCGTAATTCCACAAATAGACGAGCATCAATATCTAGACGGCGGCTAGCTTGACCGAGCGTTTCCAGATGACGGCTCACTTGACTCACATATTGCCCTTATTTCAGATGTCCTCCAGCAGCACATAAACACGGTTTATAAACCAGCAAACATCTTCAGACTGCTTTAGAAGCTCTTCGGCACAATGATAAAGCTCGGGACACAGAGGGTGAAAATGAGAGAATCCAGAAGATTGGATGAAATAACAAAACAAAAACACTTTGAAAAAGCCTGATGTTGGTGCAGATGCTATTCAAAGATTTGTCCATTTTTGTAAACCAAATACTGATCCTGTAGATAGAAGTTTGTATGACTAAACGAAAGAGCAACAGATATGTTGTTCATTTATATTGAATCACAATAATGCTTAATCACACCAATTGCCATCCTATTTGCTGTATTATGTTTTGTATAACATGACTGTGTGTGTTGTATGGAAATTATATGAAATCAGTTTTATCTAATAGGACACACACTGCTGTCCTTACTCTCTGTCCGCTGTAGAGAGCGGCTTTTAAAATCCTTTACATCACTATAGAAGAGGACTTATATATATATATATATATATATATATATACATACAGTGTACATGGACAAAAGCGGTGTAATGGTGGTTTAAGTCTTACTGTGACAGTAATTGGTGTGGATCTAATCTAATGGACCACAAGTGAGGACACCATTGATGGTTTTGTAGAAACTGTTTTCTTCCACCAACTCATGAACCATTTTATTTTCATTACATCCACAATGAGATATTTTATCTTCATGGCATTTAGGGTGAGATGGTTGTGTTAGCGGGTAACAGTTTTTGGACCTAAGGACCAGATGTTTGAAAGAAGACCCGGAGCCAGAATTATAATACATTTAAGAAAAGTTTTACTGAAGATAGTTTGCAGTTTCATCAGAAGTCAGCTTCAAGACTCACACAGGAGTTTGTAGGTCGCTCCGTTACAGTTACAAAGATCACAGCAGTTATACCCTACAACAAGGTCGCAGATTTGGGTTTCTGGGCGCCAGCCAGAACCACAACTCAGTCAATCTCCAATAATGCCAGTGGTTCCTTAACCTGTAAGCAAGAGGACTAACACACACACCGACACACAGCTTCTTCAAGGTTGGATTTGAACTATAAACAGAAGAGTCTTCTCAAAACATCAAGATAATTACGTTCTTTCTCTGAATTCAAGTAAGCTTTTCGTTTTGTGTTATTTAGTATATCTCAGTGCAAGGGATACAATAATATCTTCTTTACAATAAGATCCCCCTTCCCCATATACTGTATAATACGCCGAAGCACCACCTGAGTCTTCTCCTCCCATTAGTACCAGTGATGCTTGATTCCACTTCCCGCGTCCTGAGCAGACATCAACAGCTCAACTGGGTTGTAGAGTAGGTTGCCAGGCTGAGGTCACATATGGGTTGATATGTGAGAGATGAGTGTGGAATATGGGAGACTCCGGGAAAAAGGTTTTGACTGTGTTGACAGGTATCATCAGGTCATCAGACTTCTTGGTGTTGGTGCTCATTGGGCTGTTTGCTAATGAAAAAGGAAGAGTGGCAAATGGAAAAAGATAAGTGTATACAAGTATTAAAACATTGCAAGTGCACCACAATGGAAAATAAGTTTAAATAAAACCATTTATACATACGTTTGAGCATTCCAAAAACTTTATTTTCAAAGCACTCCACTTGACTCTGACAGGAACTGGACCGTTTTACGATAATAATAAAAAAGAAGAAAAATTATTGTAAATACCACCCCATAAAAATAAAATAAAAAAATCAATTAAAATTAGAAAACTAAATTAGAAAATGTGTTTGTAATACAACAATACTGACAATTAGGAAAATATTTAAATTTCAAGGAAAAAAAAAGTTATTTTTGTTTTACCTATTAGTCATAGGTAATACTTGCCTATTTGATCTCTAGTCATTTCTTCCTCCAACAACAGTACAGGAATATCCCAACTGTGAGTACAGCCAGAACAGGGACAGCAACATATAGCCACATGGGACGACCTGGTTCAGTAACGGCTAGATAGATGGATACATATTATAGATGATAATATGTATATACAATCAAAATAGTCTTAAATGATCCTATATTAAGTGATACAAGGCATTCTTCCTGGTTCTGGAAGCACTGGAACTCAAGTTTGTATAATTTTTGGTGTATGTAAATTTATTCTCTTTTCTTTCTGTTTCTTTTACTTTGTGATATGGACCTAAGGGTCTGGAATAAAAAAAAATGTAAGCCTTTATTTCATATAAACTTCATTAAATAGACATTTTTAAGACCCAATGAATAGTCAAAATAGAGTTTTGTGGCATTTTGGATCACAAAAAAGTGCAAATTCTGTCATCATTTACTCTGCCTTATGTCGTTCCAAACCTGTATGACTTTCTTTCTGTGGAACATAAAAGAAGACATTTATTTATTTTTGTCCATACAATGAAAGCCAATAACAGTTGACACACTCAAAAAAATATAATCTTTTGTGTTCCACATAAAAAAAGTCATACAGGTTTGGAACGACATGGAGGTCAGTAAATGACGGCAGAATTTACATTGTTTGAGTGAACTATCCCTTTATTTACTGAATGAATTTTATATGCATTTAAAATGTAGAATCTTTCTCTTCTGAGAATAGCAGCCTATAAATATTGATTATTGCAATGAGGGGTTCAAATTTCTGTCCAATGAATTGCTATATCTGCAATAAAAACATCAAGTGTCTAATATCAACCTCTAATATCAAGTGAGATATGGTGCATGGCTGAATGTTCAAGAGTCTGAATGTGTCTCATCAGCCTTTTGAACAATCATTGGCCTAATATGAATATATTGAAATTCTATACTCACCATTAACAAAAACATTTAGAAAAGTATTATGTATGGTGTTATTGACACCATAGAACTTCAGTTTATAAAGACCAGAGTCTGTGAGTCTGGTGTTCTTGATGGTGAGAGATCCAGTCTGAGGGTCAAACTGCAGTCTGTCCTTGTATGTTTTATTACATATACCGTCATATATATTGGTGTTGCGCAGCTGAACTGTAGCCGAACAAGTCTTATTAGGTCCAAAATTCTCCCACTTTATTAGATCCGTGGGGTGTTTTAAAGTAACACCAGTCTGTAGAGTGACAGGTTCTCCCTCAGTCGCTGATACTGCCTCCACTCCATCCGCCTCGACAGCAAACACACCTGGAAAAAGAAAGACAAGTGTCTCAGTCACTCAATTTACTCACAACTTCTTCTTTTTTGTATCTTAAAGTAATTATTCTTCCCATTCTCCATTGGGAAGTATTCTATAAATATGCCATCTGCAAAGACCAGGGTAACTTATCCTCAACTAATATAAATATGACCCAAAAATCTCACATAGGCTGCAACATCCCTCCACAATACCCTTCCAGTGACAGTGGAAACATTGATGCTTCACACAAACATCTTCATCTTTGAAGAACAATGTTTCCATTAGGACGGCAGTAAACTCAAAGCAGTTGGAATTGTCTCCAAATGCTAAATAATTTTGAAAAACAAAAAACTTGTCAAAAAACAGGACAATATCATGCCATTGTTATATGCTCAAAGACATACATTTTATTACAATCCTGTTACCCCTTGTAGCCAATAAAGGGCAGCAAGTACACTTAAATTATACATCAAATCTTTATAATTATATTTAAATGGATGTATAATGACAAAATTGACCAATGCTTAAACTTTCTTATCAAGTCTGGTACTGGTTGGATTTTCTTGTGTAATACTATCCAGAGGATTACTTTACTAATCTACTAGGTAGGAGTCATGCATACATGAAACTGTCCGATCCATAGGAATCTGTGGATTATTATTGTGACAAAAGTAAGAGAACTATGACAATTGTTCAATGGAAAAATGTGTCGGTCACATGTGGAAAGAAAGCACAAAAGTGTCTAAACCACAGCAGTGGGCGATGCTTTGCACTCTCTCAAGCACAGATAGACCTTTAACACATTCAGGCCTTTTTTTCCTCTTCTTTTTTTACCTTTCAGTTCTGTCGTGCATATGCCCACACAGAATCTGTTCCTGCAAAACTTCTCAGAGAGCTCTGGAGATTTTATTCAAATAAATATTAGGGATAATTTGAACATGCTTTCAAATATCAATAAGAGTGTATTAACGCGATGTAACTTGTTTTAATCAGCACAGAAAATACAACAAATTGTTAGCTGTGTCTACGCATCCGCAGTGAGTGCATCACCAACATAACACCACAAAACCACAGGACTGAGAAAGTAACACCCACTGGACGGTTGCAGTAATGAGAGTCATTGGCTGAACCTGCTCTTCCTCCACTAAACTTTACAGAGACTCAACTAAAGTGATAGTCAGTCTTATACAATGCCCATGTGGACTGTCATCTTGTTTTTAATCTGTGTCCATGGTGAGTTATTTAATATTACATTTATCATTAGTTATTTTGCCTCTGTTAAGAGTTTTATCCTGATGAGTCTGCTAATGATAAATCATTAATATTTACAACTTGTTGCGGTGAAAGAGGAAATACCTGTGAACATGAAGCGTAAACTGATCATTTATCATTTATTAATATGGCACACAGAGGAGCTAAGTGGAAACAAAATGAAACTATATCCTGTTGCTGAACACTTCCTTTGTGGTTCTTTTGAAAATCAATTAAACAATTCATTTTAACTGCTGTTTCTAACCACCAACCTCTTTGAATGTGTTCCAGATGCTCAGACAGATGAAATGATTTCAGTATCAGTGATGGAGGGAGATTCTATCACTCTGAACTCTGATGTTACTGAAATACTTAGATATGATCGTATTATGTGGTTTTTTGGACCTTCAGAGACTCGTATTACTGACATTTATGATCAGGTCATCACTATATATGACCAAAGTACGAGATTCAAAGACAAACTGCAGCTTGACAGTCAAACGGGATCTCTCACCATAAAGAACATCAGAACCACAAACTCTGGACTTTATAAACTAAATGTTCTCAGCCAACGAGGGGTTTCACACAAAACATTCACAGTTACTGTATTTGGTAAGTGAAATATACCTCCTCTGTTTGGTTTTAGTAATCTTTCAGAAGTGAACTATTCTGGAAATGTGATGCAGTTTGTTCACTCAATAGTTAATGTTAAATGTGTTTTTTTCACTTTGGTGGTTCCTTCATCTTCTTTTTGTTTGTTTTCTTTTTGGTATAAAGCACCTGTTTCAACACCTGTCCTTCAGACAATCCCACAAGTTAGCCATGATCCAGGTGAGTCTCATAGCATTAAAGCATGAAGATTATTTATTTTAAGCTCACTGTGTTAAATATATTTTAATTAAAACGAATAACTGCTGTTTTAATACAATGATTAAAGGAAAAGTAAGCAGAGCCAACAATTCGACAAGAAATTAGCAGGTTACTACTAGAGCTCTGAGCAGCCATAACAGCATGGTAATTCAATTGTATTAATAACAAGTAGCATGCAGACGATTCTACAAACATTTGTGAAAGAATGGGTCGCTCTCGGGAGCTCGGTGAACTCAAGCGTGGTACCGTGAAGTGCAATTCTCACTAATAAATATTCCACGGTCAACTCTTAGTGGTATTATAACAAAGTGGAAGCATTTGGGAACAAAAGCAACTCATCCACTAAGTCAACGCATACTGAGGTGCACAGTGCGGAGAAGTGGCCAACTTTCTACACAGTCAATAGCTACAGACCTCCAAACTTTGTGTATCCTTCAGATTAGCTCAATAACAGTGCATAGAGAGCTTCATGGAATGGGTTTCCATGGCCGAGCAGCTGCATCCAAGCCTTACATCACCAAGTGCAATGCAAAGAGTGATGCAGTGGTGTAAAGCAGCCGCCACTGGACTCTAGAGGAGTGGAGACGTGTTCTCTGGACTGATGAATCACTCTTCTCTGTCTGGCAATCTGGTGGACGAGTCTGGGTTTGGCAGTTTGGAGAACGGTACTTGCCTGACTGCATTGTGCCAAGTGTAGTTTGGTGGAGGGGGGATTATGGTGTGGGGTTGTTTTTAAGGGGTTGGGCTTGACCCCTTAGTTGCAGTGAAAGGAACTCTTAATGCTTCAGCATACCAAGACATTTTGGACAATCTTATATTATTAATTCCATATTAAACCCTAATGGTTAAGAATGGGATGTCATTAAAGTTCATGTGCATGTAAAGGCAGACATCCCAAAACTTTTGCCAATATAGTCTATATCAACATGTTCAGTTCACCTAGTTTTGTCGTGGCTATGACGTATTAAGTTGTAGGAATGTGATTATGGGTGCTTCTCAAACAGTAGGCTGTGTCCTACCCTCTATCCCAATGTCCATACTATTCATCCTAAATAGTATGTGAGATTAAAATAAGTGTGGCCCATAGTATGTTGACTACGGTTGCTTTTCAAAGTGTGGATCCGTGCTCACTATAACGGCTAATATTGCCCACAACCCAATGCGCTTTGGAGGAGGATTCAGTTCAGAACTACAAACACGAATAAAAAGTGTTAAAAAAAAACCTGCGAATGACGGTTTAAGCCACTGGCGTGAACCGGAAGGAGTACCAATTTCACTTCAGTACTTTGACATATTTTCTGAGTGGAATGGTATATTGGTGCTGTCCCAAATGGGATCCCACAATCTTCCTCCAAGTCTACTCTTTTGTAACGTAACGTCGCTTTGACATTTGGGTAGAAGTTTGTTGCGGAGCTCGCAGGATTGTAGGCTCAGCAGAAGTGCACATATCAGCCGCAAAGGGGGGCACTCGCGAGCACCCTTCTGAAACCTTAAATGACAAATGGGACACCCTATGGTCTTGTCACATGCACACGGCGGCCATTTTAAGTCCACAAGATGGTAAGTGCACATGAACTGTGTTATTTGGGACAGGGACAGTGAATGAAAAAAATAAGAGGGAGTGGTTTGTTATTTTTCCTGCTGGAAATTGATTGGATCTTGAAATGTGGGTGCTATGAGATGCTTGCTGCACATTGCAGTAATCTAGATCTAGGTAGATATTAGAATATCATATTAATAAAAGCTGGATGACTTGTGTTGCCAAATGACATGCAATTAATATTAGATATATTGTATAATGGAGAGAAAATGCTGTATTACTGTTACTACAAATGAAGCTCGTTAAGCAATGGTTTATGCACTGTAAAAAACTTAACTCATTATTTTGAGTTATCTTTTTGCATGTTTTTTTTTTTAGTTTAACTTACTTATTTCGATAAGTTGAGGACAAGAAAAACTTAAAATTTCTTGTTGTCTGGACAATCTAGTTATCTCTACACAAAAAAATAAGTTGAAATAACTAAATTGCTAAAATATTTTTTACAGTGTGCCACTTGACAAAATAGTGTTGTCTCTGAGGTTCAAACATGGTACTTGTGGTAAATCAAGAAAACAAGATTCAAACAATAAGACTAACCGTATAGAGCTATATAACAATGATTCATTTTTCACACCTGTCTAATAAAACACATATTAAAGCGTCTTTGGTGTCTGTTTCCATGGTTTCTTTAAAGTAAAACTGGAAATCGAGGGTAACGTGGACATGATGTCATTGACAAGATACCTAATGAAATGGGTTTAAATCCTGAGAAATTCGCTATTTGAACCAATGTAGGGAACATTTGGGATAATGTAAGAACATAAGTCAACAAAATATATAATATTGTTTTTAATGTTTTTTGGATATTTTAATCTAAAAATCTTACATGTGCCTTTAATCTTACATATTGTGCCTTTAATGTTATCCACATCATAATTCATCTGAAACAACAATGTGAACTTTTATAAATATTAATTTGTCCATTAAGCATTTAAAATATGAGGAGAGTTTGCCACAAAAGACCCATACTGGCAGGTCAACGTCCTACATCTTTTGGGGCAATACTTTTTTTTTTTAAATTAGGTAAATTGGGATGCAGCACTAGAAAGCCTTAATTTTAATGCAAATATAGCTATTTTAACAATAATGTAAGCCATTGGGAGACAACAGATGGCTGTCATTCACTGTATTGCATTAAGTGTATTGCATTGCCAGTTGATATAAATAAAGCCAGCAAGCAAGGGATTTAATCCAGCAGGTTTTGTTTTAAACACAAACCACATTAACAATTCTTTCATGGTTAATTTCAAGTCAGACATGACTTGACACACAATGCTATCGGATGTCTTGCGACTGCAGCAGGTTCAACATTTGTGAACATTTTGAGCCCATGAAACCCATTTAGTTCTGCATTTTTCATGGAATTGTTTATGAATAAGAACAAATAAGTGAGATCAAATAAAAAGTTGTACATGAATTACTGTACAGATTTAATATAGAACCCAATAGTATTTTAACTTGTTTCGTACTGAACAATCTTCCCTTCTCTTTTCCAGCTCCTCTGCCCATTCCTGTCATCACCAGTGATTCTTCACAGTGTTCATCATCATCATCATCATCATCATCATCATCAAGATCATCAGTGTCCAGATGTTCACTGGTGTGTTCAGTGTTGAATGTGAGTGATGTGACTCTCTCCTGGTACAAAGGAGTTAGTGTATTGTCCAGCATCAGTGTGTGTGATCTCAGCATCAGTCTCTCTCTGGAGGTGGAATATCAGGATAAAAACACATACAGCTGTGTGCTCAACAATCCTGTCAGAAACCAGACCACACATCTGGACATCACTCAACTCTGTCAACCATGTGAAGGTAAGTGAGGTGTTGCCATATTTATGATAAACAAGTCATTGGCATTATTGCCTTTACTTTAGCGTCTAAGTGCAATAGTCTACGCTTATTACAAAGCACAACTATGTGCACAATGTTTTCTTATTTTTATTTAGACTCTGTCCAGTGTTGTGGTTTCACTGAAGCTGTGATCCGATTGGTCGTCTCTGCTCTGGTGGGCGTGGCTATTGTTGCTGTGCTGATTTATGACATCAAATCTAATCAAATTAATCAGGAGAGGAGAGCACATGAACATCACCATCAGTCCCTCACTGATACAATATAGTACAACAGTTTCATTCATTACCCTCAAATACAATTTACCCTGAAATAATGGGTTATGGTATGTCCTCCTAGTTTAGAACAGCAATAAAGACACAAATACCACATCATTTGGGAAGATATATTAACTAAACAATATCACACAAGCAACAGTGCACACATCCACAGTATCAGATCATCACTTTTTACTTCAGTAACATCAGTGGAATTACAGAATCTCCCTCCATCACTGAAACTACAGTGCATGCGTAATTATTATGCAAGTCGATATTCTGATCATATATTTTAAAAAGTTTTATAGACCGACAGGTTGAGAGTGACTCTTAAAGGACCAGCACATCCTCTTGTACCTCTGCTTGAAGACTTTATCTTCCTGAATCAGTAAGTCCATCTCCTACCCGGACCAGTTTCAGGATCCTTTACCTTAGCAAAATTTCAAACCTAATTCTTCACCTTAATCTTTTGCAGTTAATATATTTGTGCGTGTTTGTGTATGTGTGACCCAATAAGCATGACAATGATCATGCTTTATTTTTGACATTTCTATATTCCTTCCTTCTCATGGACATTTGACATTTTTTGTGTTTTCAGTGCGAGTTAAATCCCTTTTATGGCCCATTACCTATAAACCTGCTGCACATCTGAATAAAAAGGCATTTTTCACTTTAATCCCTAATTAGCAATTATATATCACTTAAATATACCATTTATATATATATACAATTAAGAGTAGTTAAGACTGATGTGGTTTGGAATTGGTAAAATGTGCTTGAAAAAAATATGATCAGAATATAGACTTGCATAATAATTGTGCACGGACTGTATTCCCATTCCTGTCACAGCACATTCATGACAAGTTAATAAACTAGTGCTAGACCTGCCTATTGCAAATAACTCAAACTATACTAAACTTTATGATTATTTCTGTCTCTTTATCTTCACTTTCTACTGCAGTCCCTCTCGTTCACCACCAGAGGTCAGCACTGACACTCTTTTTCTTTTGTACAGCTTGCCTGTTTTCTAGATAGTTTCTTTGCCTAATGGCAATGCCTACTATTTGGACCATTCTACACAGGGTAATTTGTTAATCCCCAATAAAAGTCTTTGTATGAAGATCATTCTGCCTCATCTGTGTCCCCAGTGCACAACCACACAACGAAATGTAAATAGCAAACATAAGTTAACAACACAAAGGAAACAAGCCACAACACAAAAAAATGCACACACAAATATCCTCCTAAGACATAAGGAAAATATACTTTTCACCTCTGTAGCAGACATTATTTTTTAGAGAATTCCTCTGACAGGTCTGTAATTGTATAATAATTATAGCATATGCTGTGTTTTTGTTAGAAAAACTACTTTCTAAACCTGCCAGACTTTATAACTGTGTCCACAACAGTTATCAGTGAAACAAACACCTGATTCACCTCCATATTTGTCAAATATGTTGATCACACATAAGCACAATCTTTTAAGCTTTGTTGTCGCCTACTAAAACCACACCTTTAAAGTAGAGCTTTTTTTGTTGTTGTTTTTTCGATTCGCGTGCCACAAATTCCAAACCACGCCCTTGACTGATTATATTACTGTAACTTGAGAGAAGATGCTTGACAATGCCCATTATTTCTGTATTGTATTGCCTGTGTAAGCAGATTTACATGCTGGTGATGACATGGAAAAAGGGTTGATTGTCCTTTTTTTTTTTTTTTTGCATTTTGCATTTTGTACCGGTTGTAAGATTACAAGTAAAGTAATGTAATATTATTTGTAGGCTTTTAAATGTTGTATTGATCCACAACTACAGTGCACTGTAGGCTGTACAAAAAGTATCTTTAAAATTCATATGTAAAAAAAAACGCTGTGGTTCCCAGAACAGGACAGCAATAAACATTAATTTAACAATATTAGATATAACATAAAACGCTAATGTATAACTGTTAAAAAAATAACCAACACAATCTCATGAGAGTGCGTATATAGGCTACCACGAGTTTGATTTCTCGTGCCATTTAGCCTATACGCCAAAACTGCGTATCATATCGCAAAAAAACGTTAAGGCGCGGGAAGATGTTTTAGAGATGTTGGGGGTGCTGGTTTTTTTTTTTTGGGGGGGGGGGGTCAAAAGCGTATCGGTGAGAACACTCATTTAAACAGCATACACACAAACAAACATACAGCATACAAACATAAACAGGAACTGTCACAATGCCTTGAATCATGGAAAACCTTCTGAAAAAAAAGATTTTATTTTGAGTGTGTCATCCTTTGCCGCGGCGCCAGATAATTTTTAACGCAGGTGCTGAGGGGGTGCTAGATCATTGACAGGGGGAGCTGCGCAATTTATATATATATATATATATATATATATATATATATATATATACACACACACACATACACACTATTATTTAAATGAGCAATATTTATGATGAGATGTGCTCCAGTTCACGTGCAATGCAATCGCGCCTGCGCCTCCATATCATGATCATATTGTCTGCTAAATTTGCTTCCTATTTATTATATCCAAGCAATAGGTTGATGAAAAATGTATTAAAATGAAGATACAATTTATACAAAACGAAATTCACTTTAAAGAAAGGCTTTCTACAAAACAAAACTTAATTTAGTGGTCAAAATCATGTCTGACCCATCATATCTTCCGATATATTGCGCATCTTACTCATGCCGTTCAATTTTCATAATCAACATAGATGTAAAAAAAAAAAAACATTATAATATTTTAACAAATATGAAACTAAATGCGCTTATTTATTGGCTACAACACATATAGGCTAGTGGGCCTACAGACTCTCTAAATATTGAAATTAACATTAACAATGCTGTAGAAGTGCAGTTTATTAATAGTAAATGTTAACTAATCTAATTAAGTGTTACCGACTTTTTATACACGGATTCAGAGGTCTCGTGAGTTCAGTGTTGGACAGGTCAGTTATTTTAACTATTCATTAGAAATACAGCAACAGCCGGCAGTCTTTTACTCCAAAATGCTGGCCGAGGTGTTTGGACACATCCTGGATTCCCCGCCTGAGTGTGAATGGGCGCATCGAATTCCATCTGCCAAACCACAACCAGGTCAGAGACCGCGGGCGGTCATTATCCGGCTCCACAAGTACCTCGTAAAGGAGAAAATTATCCGTGAAGCTCGGGCCAAAAGAGGCCAGTTGAAGTTCCAATCCCATTCGATCTCAGTTTACGAGGATTATCCACCTGAAATTGTGGCGCAACGGAAGGAATATAGAGAGGTGATGTCGGAGCTGTACAAACGCGGACTTAGACCAACGCTTCTATTCCCTGCAAAACTATTTATCAAACTTAAGGAGGGAGGTAGGATGTATTTTTCTTCGGCTTCAGAAGCAAAGCAATATGTTAAGACATTGCCATAAACTGGCTGGTTGGTGACTTGTATTGATATTTGAATAGGCTTGAGAACTGTTTTTTTTTCTCTTTTCTTTTTTCTCTCTTGATGAACAAAAATGATTCATGCATACCCAGTGACTGACTAATTATTTCTACTTATAATGTGGGTGTTGAGATTACCATCATATGGTGCAAGTGCGTTAGTTTGTGCCCTACATAAATCTACTTGTGGTTGTGAGTGGGTGTGGAAGTGTGGGTGTGTGTGGGTTTGGGTGTAAATGGAGTAAGATGCAAAAGAGAGTGCATCTAGGCAAGTGTGTATGTATTCCTTTAAATTTTTTGTTGGATTTAGGATTAAATGCTTTATGTGTATATGCTTTATCATGGATGTTGGATGTAGGACTAGGTCTATCGCTTTTGGATGGGTTTGGATGAATTGGATGATCTTGATGGGGAGGTTCGGCACTGTAGTGACATTGGTGCACATATCACTTGCAAGCAATATGACCTAGAAAATCTGAAATACTTAAGTATGAATAATAACTTCTCGGTGGTCCATATTAATATCAGAAGCCTATAGCTAAACATTATGATCAATTAGTGTCAATGCTATCCATATCAGATCCACTGTAAAAAGTGCTACACCCACCAAGTAGGTTTTATATATTTTAAATATTTGTAATCTAGTTTATTTTATTGGTTTTATACAAAAAAGTATCAAAATACTTCCTCTTTACTCAAAATATATCAGTTTTTATATAACAATATATTTTAAATAAAACCCATGCAATTTATTTGGGTAGTTATTTGTATGTGGTTGATGTGTACAATAAATGTTATAAAAGTGAGTTGACAATGCACAATTTATTTGAGCAGCTGTCGATGTGACAGGTGTGTTCATCAAACGTAAATATTTTAAATTTTATAAGTTGGCATTATCCCTTTTTCACTGGCGGGGACTCCAGGCAGATGCAACATCTTCCTCGTCACTTCAACTGTTTGGTCGCTGCAGCGGATCTGAATTTCAGGGTCTGATTAACACGGTAAGTTGAGCAAATTTAGCCGAATGACTGGTGATGTAAACTAAAGTCACGCAAAATCGCTTACTCCATTAGGGAGCTGAGGTTAGGTTTGCAAATTGTATAGCTAGCTATCCTGCACACATGGTAAGCTAAGATGGCTGCACAGTGTGGTCGATCGGCAGACAACAGCAGTGTTTAAAAACACATACAAGTTATACATGTAATAATTAGTTGCACAAATGCCCTCAGTTATATTTTTAGATTGCACAGATTAAATTTCGGGATCATATGCGATCGAAACGGTCGCAATTTCGAGCCTTAAGGCAATAGTTGTGCGGGCAAATAAGGGAAAGTAAGATGTGGTGTTTTATGGACAACACTTTGTTTTGTGTGTTGTGTGTCTTTGACAGGACTCAGAGATTATGTTATTATACTTTTGCATTACTAAAGCAAATGCACAGATTAGACTGTAGAGATGTATGTTTAGTCTGTCTGTCAAATTTTAGAGATTTGATCCACGTTATTTTAATGCTGCATAGTCAATTAATGACAGATTTTTGGTCTAGATTTTTAAACTACTTCTAGCCTATTACTTAAAGAA